CTTAATCGCGTCTTTATGTGTCACTTGTGTGTCACCGGCTCATTGTTCACAAAACCGCATCGCCGTATTAGATTACAGATAAACATTATCTTGGATACAGCTTACAAGTATTTTCCATACATTACTTGTCTTTTAATAATATAAATATTGTCTATTTGCGTTTAAAGACACACTTTTATAACATTAAAACAAACGCCGGCAAACATATTACATTAAGTTAAGAAATGTTTTCGTTCTAAATTTGAATATTGAAGTACGTATTTCTAGCAAGTAGTAAAGTAAGATAGGTTACCTGGAAGAGATCGCTCGAAAGCGATAAGGCCGCCGGTTGCCCTCCTTTTTATTTAATTATGTCTATTGTATTATATTTCTGTGTTAATAAATAAATAAATAAAATTAATATGGTAGTCAAAGTATTAAGAATAATTAATTTTATACTTTATCGAATGATAAAATCTAGGAAAACGTATTCTACCGGGTTCTTCGACAATTTAGAACAGAATACAACCTTAAGAAAGTGTTTAATTTTAACTAATGTTACCTGAAACCGCCGCCCATAAACACACAAAGGGCTCGCAAGAGCGTTGCCGGCCTCTTAATAAATAAATCTTATAATAATCTTTTATTAAATATTTTTTTAACACAGAATCGTGCGCCATCCAAATAATTGTAAAATTCCCGTTGCATTGAAACAACCATAATCGGCACGAAAAACCTCACAAAGTGAATAAAAAACACTTGAAATGAGTCCAATTAACAGAAACGCATTCATTGAATTGAAAGAGGTAGTTTTAAAAACGCCTGCAGTCCCAATGCTTCCTCAATAATCCGAATTAAGCGGCAATTGGGTGTCAGGGCTGTGTAATAAATATTAATGGTAAGGTCATTTGGATTAAGATTAGCGCATCTCAGTTAATCAAATAATTTATATATTATTATAATTTATTCATATAAATTAACTAGCCGACCCGGCAAACGTTGTTTTGCCATGTATATTATTTCTAGGAAAAAAAATTTTAGTTCAATAAAAATAACATCTAGTATAATATAAAATAGGGGTTGATCGTAGGGGTTGTATGAATTTGGTACGCTGTATCATAAAAAAAAATTGTCTAAATAAAAATCCCTTATCACTTAGGGGTTTGAAAGATAGATAGTAGCCGATTCTCAGACTTAATTAATATGCATAAAAATTAATAAGAATCGGTCGAGCCGTTTCGGAGGATTATGGGAACAAACATTGGCCACCAGTATTTTATAAATTAATACTTATAAATTCCTTCAACTAATGCCATTGCCAAAAACAGACGAGAAGAACTGGTAATAGACACTCCGTCACTCTTTTAGGCCCATACTCCAAAAGGTACTTAAGTCACAATCTCCGCTAGACCAGTCATGTCAAAGTTCAAATAAAAAAAAATGATTTGACAGCTTTTGAAAGCAGATTGAAGCTTTCTAGAATCAGATCACCAAGTTTTTGTCACAAAATTTTGAATATATATTGCATATCAAACCGTAAGCCTGTATTTGATAAACTTCTTTCGTTCATAGCTATCTATATAATTATCCATAATTAACTTCTGGACAATTACGAATTGGCCATGATTTTTAATCTACTTATCTAGGCTTCTATCGTTCAGGATAACTCCACCCTGATAAACGCACAATGTACAATTACTGTAAAGGACAAACTTAAGGGAGGTGAATAAAATAAATTATTAATTTCTTTATCTAATATATAAAATTCTCGTGTCGCGGTGTTTGTGGTTAAACTCTTCCGAAACAGCTCGACCGATTCTCATGAAATTTTGTGTGCATATTGGGTATGTCTGAGAATCGGACAACATCTATTTTTCATCCCCCTAAATGTTAAGGGTAGTCAAGGGTAGTCCAGGGTAGTCCACCCCTAAATATTTTTTTTATTTTATTTTTAGATATTTTTTCTGTTTTTATTTTTTTATGATACAGCATTAAAAATACATACAACCCCTCTACGATCAACCCCTATTTTTTTATTATAAATGATATACATGGCAAAACGACGTTTGCTAGGTCAGCTAGTTATCTATATAATAGAAAGAAGAAAAAAGTTCACCAGCCCCCACACTAGGATTCCCTGTGTCGTGGGCAGCTAGTATCTTTCACTTTTTTTTTTATAGAACAGGGGGCAAACGGGCAGGAGGCTCACCCGATGTTAAGTGATACCGCCGCCCATGGACACTCAATGTGTGCGCGAGTGCGTTGCCGGTTTCAAGAATTGGTACGCTCTTATCTTGAAGGACCCTAAGTCGAATTGGTTCGGAAATATTTCAGTGGGCAGCTGGTTCCACATAGTGCCACCTGACACGGTACATAATAATTTCTACATAACCCTTACATTTTGTAACCAAACTATTGTTGCACAATAAGAATATTTTCCGTTTCAGCACACGACATATTGAGAAGACGATGTTTAAGATTTATTGTTTTAAATACAGTTTTGAATACTTAATGAAAATTTTAATTTTAACAAAGCAGTTAAGATAAAATATTTATATTTAAAATATAACGACAACCCTATAAAACGTCCAATTAGTTACACTATCACTTTTGACCAAAACGAATTTAGTTATTCACTGCGGCAATTTCGCGAATTTGCTCTAAATATTTTTCAACTTTAACCAAAGAACATAATTTTTTTCATGTCATCTTTTATTATAATTTTTTATAAATTATCTCTGCACAAAGATACAATTTTTAGATCTAGCCTAACTTATAGACTAATGAGTAATTTAAAATCTAATTAAAGAAGAAACTCTGTTTCTTGTGTACAATTTTTTATACACTATATGTGTCCTGTGCACTTTTAATATTCTCACTAGGCCCGTGGTGTCGAGAAGTTGAAAGAGCTCGACATGAATAATAATTTAAATAAAAATAAATAAATCAATGGTGTACAAATTATTTAGGTCTGGACCTCAGATTTCTGTATATATCCTAACAAACTCCTAAGCGACAAGGGGTGTCCACCCCAAAAATTTTATTTTTTTATTTTTTAGACAATTTTTTTTATGATACAGCATACAAAAATACATACAACCCTAAGTTTCATCTACCCTCTACGATCAACCCTTATTTTTTATGAAATAAGGGATAGAGATAGTTATTTTTATTAAACTTAAAGAATGTTTCCTAGAAATAATATACATGGCAAAACAAACGTTTGCCGAGTCAGCTAGTTTTTTTTATATTAAATAAGCATCAACATAAGCTCATTCCAAAATTCAATATTTGTAGAAAGCGATCAATTTGCTAATATAACCATTAATTTATCGCTTTACAAACATGTTTAATATTTAATTACCATTTGTGTCTTGTTTTGATAATTTTGATGTCTCTCATTATGTAATTTGATAAAATACCTACATAAATAGAAAGTACATATTGATTATTTTTTAATTAATAAGCTTTTTTTATTTGAAAGATGGAAGAACCGACTCGAGGATCTACTCCTACACAGACAGCCAAGTTTCGCGTTTAATACTTAGAGGAAGAAATATCCATCAGGCCATTAAGATACCATAGATAGAGGGGACCCAGACCTCCAACTATTCAAAATTCGAGTGTGCTCCTCCCTCAAAGGCCGGCAACACACCCACTAAAAATTTGTGTCTATGGGCTGAGATGACTGATGATTATATTAAAAAAAATTCAGCAGTATAAATTTTATTTTTAGACCTTCAATCTGGTGTCCTTGTAAAAATTGACAGTATCATGAGCCAAATCGATTAACTCAAGTTCAAAGAAGACAATGTAAAAATAATTAATTTCATGTCAAGAAGCCATTCAATGTTTCAGTGCGGATAAATCGTTCCATCAAAACCTTTACGTAAACCTTTAAACATTAAGACAATGTAACACGACACTAAACAAAGTTGTTTATACACGTAATACTGTATAACATCGATTTTATATAAGGTACTGTACGTAGAAAAATGACTGTAAAATGTAAATACATTTTCATTCTACTTAAATATAGGGAGCGTTCAAGTATTACGAAACGAATTTTTGGGGGGGTCCTTTTGTAAAACGTTACGATGCGGGTCGGGGATTGAATTACGCGTTATTGTTAATATTATTTTCGACTTTCCAGTACTTTACACCACATAATGGTAACTTTTAGGTATAAAGAGTCACTGGGTGGTCACGAAACGTTTTACTATTGGGTACAGAAAAACGTTACGGCGCGTTACATGGGGGGTCAATAATCTCCAATAATTGCGTGACGTAATACTTGAACACTCCCATAGTGTCAAGTATTCCTACTATAACCTTCCGACTCCCAGAACCAACATCGGGTACCGCGAGCCTCTTCACAGAATTCAACGTTGTATTCTGCCACTAATATCGAGCTTTTTTCGCACTCCTCTATTGCTTCATTTATGAATAAGTTAAAACAACTATTATTGTCTTAAGCCTTGTATCTTTCTTCTTTATTACATCTACTTACTAGTATGTTGTCGTTGTCCTGATTTATATATTGTCTACTTAGCTAAAGTTCTGCTGTCATGTTTTGCTTTGTATCTTATTTTTATCAGTGATACTTTTTGTGGATATATCCGATGTTTTGGAGATGTATCTGTTTTGTTTCCTAAATAAATAAATAAAACTAATATATTTCTCTATATATCTTTATCACCTAAATACAATTCAATATAAAATATCCGCGTTTCTTCACGCGGAAACATAAAAGAATAACTATCGCATCGATACCTTTCGAAATACAACTCGAAACTTTCACCTCCTTCAAGCTAACGACAGTGCACTTTGATATCTAAATACAGCATAAGTTGTATACACAAATCTAATCTAGCGACACAGTTGATTGCTACAAGGAAATCGTTGCGCAAATCGAATCACGTTTCAAATAAACAAACATACATTCTAATTACAAACGCGTATCTTGACATACGACATCTTTGTATTGTACACGGTCCGTAGATAAGGCCAAACAAAACGTCTTACAATAGATAAAAACTCACCTTATCTCTATGCGAATGTCTGTGGTGCGTCACGGGTGGCGGGTGATGAGGCGGAGGTGGATTCTGCCCAGTGACCACAACTGGCAGGCCATCAACAATCGTCACCATCACTCTTTTGTCACCGCTGCGTCGGCGTTCCGAGGAATTCCTCCGACGCCTTTGCTCATCAGACACCGGCTTGGAGAACACTGTTCTGCGATCGAACGTGCGTGGGTCTACTTGGTTCTCTGCCGCCCTAGTAGCTGGTGTGTGGCTCTTCGATCGCTTCAAAAGTCTCATGACGTGAGACTTGATCGCGTCCGGTTTGCTGACCGGGGGCGGTTCAGGTTTGTGTTTGTACGACTGAGAGTGCGCATGGTGGCGCTGAACGGACACCGAGTGCCCCATACCCGGAGGTATCACGTTGGACAAGCTCTTGACTGCGTATGCCGCGTCTACTTTGTTACCAGCCACGCACGAAACCTCGTACATCCCGCAATTCTTTATTTGTTCGCCTGGTCGCTCACTATTTAAATCATACACCCATTTTCACATCCATTCACTATGTCACTGCAATCCTGTGTTGCGTAAACGTATAAAATCTTGCCGGACCGGTTACGGAAAAAAACTATTAAAACATCGTCAATATTTACTAAATATGGTATAAATAAGGGTTAAGATTGTTAATTACGATTAATTTATAGGTCAAGGAGGGCACGTCCGTCCGCCGCGAGAGCCGTCGACATACTAACACATTCAGCGCGATATTGTGAAGAACAGAATCTGAATGATGTTTGAATGATAAGGATGCCTTTAGCCGGTGGGCGAGTTACCACAAAAGGTCAATGTTTCGGTGAAGTCATCGCAATGAGACGATAATACACTCACGAATTGACGTCCGAGCAATTAATCACTTGAAGATACTTAACACAAATTTGCGTATTAATAGAACGACAATCGCGTGTGCGGATGTTTTTTCTACTTTCAATAACGGATTTTTTTTTTATATTATGTCAACATTTTCCTTATAACTTCATGCGCTGACAAAAGCTACATATACAAGAGTATGATGCAAAAAATAATAAATCCATCTTATTTCTATAGATTAAAAAAAATCTGTGGCGCTACAACCTTTTTAGGTCTTAGCCTCATATTTCTTAATCTGTTTCATGATCATTTTTAAATCTAATAGGCAAGTAGGTGATCAGCCTGCAGTGCCTGACACACGCCGTCGACTTCTAAGACATGTCAGTTTCCTCACGATGTTTTCCTTCACCGTTCGAGCAAATGTTAAATGCGCACATATAAAGAAAATCCATTGGTGCACAGCCGGGTATCGAACCTACGACCTCATGTATGAGAGACGCACGCTGAAGCCACTAGGCCAACACTGCTCTCGATTTCTATAGATTACTGTAGACAAAACAGTTAAAACGACCGAATTTAACCCATAAAGGACTAAATTACATCGACATTTCAGCAAAACAATGTGAGATACCCAATGTAGGCGCGCGTTTATCACAAACGGTAAAGGAAAGAATTTTAAACGAATACCGCTTTGCCCAAACCAAGGCCCTTTGATAACACGATTTTCTAAACAAGATTTGGGGACACGAAATTTTAATAATTCAACGTAAAAATTCTTTGTCTTCCACAACAATGTCTTGGGATTAACAAGGTTGTTTCTACAACTTTGCTGTTTTTATTTTAATTAATATTCAGAGAATCTTCAAACAGAAATGTTTTGACCCGGATTTAATAACTCAAACCCCTAAAATAAATACAGAAAAAATTATTGGTATCTTAGTAGATATTATATATTTTATTATATATGAGCCTAGACTATATATAAACAATGAGAAACCGGTAGAAATTTTTTCATATAATCTGTTAAGGAAAAAATTCTTTGTGTATTGTATGAATCAATCTTCTAAGAATCCTACAATACGGAAGTACTGTTATTATTACATTAGGGATCAAAGGTAAGCGATAATTAACTTTATACTAATCAAACCAATTGTTAATATAATAGGCAGAAGCCAAAACTGAAATTCGTTTTGCATAAGCAAGAATTTTACGTTTAAACTGTTATGCAAACATATGCAAAATATTTTTCGATTTATTCTAAAATTTAAAATTTATGGAGAAAGAACACATAAAAAGCGGAAGAAACGAATATTCACAGTCACACACAGACATTGACATTTGGGTCACTTTTGCCTGCGCGAGCGCTCATAATTACCATATATCTGCTAATGATAGTGGGCAATTAAGTATCGTTTAGGGAGAAAATGTTAATGCTGTTACTCACTTTCGGCGTAGAACCTTTTTCTCTTTATGGAGCAATTACGAATGAACTAACCTCTTTACAGACATTTTCTTGAAACATTTTGCCTCATTTCAAATGAACAATTATTAAGAATAGGAATATACCATACCATAACCATTTTGGTTTTGGATTTTAAAAAAATTGTTTTCTTGATAGCAAAGAGCATTCTGTGCCTGACGCACGCCATCATCTTTTTGACTCAAATTTATGTTCCAATTTTAAAATCTAATTTCAAAACTAAAATTTGATTACCATTGTTTACCTATAAAATTTGTCTAGATTTATCCGTGCCCTTGTATTTTGTATCTTCCTATATGGAGCAGAAACGTGAACAATCTTAGACCCAAAAAAGCAAACGATGCTTCTGAAATGTGGTGCTGGAAGCGGATGTTAAGAATACTACCGTGAACTACTAAACACACCAATGCATCGATCCTTACCCAGCCCATATTAAAACGCATCATTTCGTACTTTGGTTACTAAATACGTAGGGGCGACAGAACATATAGAAGCTAATCGTGATTGGCAACACCAAATGCAAAAGATCCCGTGGACGTTCCAACGATATGGACCAGTCAAGTTAAGTCAAAGACTCGTCATCCTCAAAACTATACACAATTGTAAAAGAAAGAACCGAAATTGGCGGAGGAAAACTTATTCACGCCTGATCGCACTCCACGGCTGACATAGTCAGACATGAGTTACCAACACAGAGAGAGAGATCGAATACCAACGCTGGCAACGCACTCGCGAGCCCTCGAGTCATTAAGTGTTCATGGATATCATTTAACATCAGGAGAGCCTCCGTTTGCCCACTGTTCTATATTAAAAATACGGTCTTCAATGCTAGGACAACAATTCATTAAAAGTAGGGCCTAGTGTACCAAAGACACTTAACCCATAGTCCGTAATGAACTTGTGCCAGAATTTATGAATCAACCGTTGAGAAATAAGTTCAATACTCAGAAACAACATCTAGGTTCGGTAAACGCAATACCGTTTTACACCTTTAAGTAATGACTAATGCATAGATTTCTAAGTAAAAACGCTTAGAAATCTTAAAGTATTTAAAAACAAGTCGTAAGAAATTATTTATCTTTTATAAATAATTTATCTACTGTGTCTGTTTTGGTCATTAAATTCAGTCACGCTGTTATTGAAACATTTTTTATCTGAAATTAATACAAAATTATTAAATATGAACTATTCGTAATTATAATACACTGTACGTTAAAATAATCGACCTCAATAGAGCTCACAAAAGGTTGCTCTACATACACTCATTTAGATCACAGTTATAATTCAGTACTGCCGCAGTGCGCCGGCGGCTATTGATCAGTGTGTCACCGCGCAGGCATTTACTTTCACTCAATTTCACTTAGATAATACTATCGCGTAGGACTCGGTAATTAACCAATTCGACGTATGGTCCTTCAAGAAAAGAGCGTACCAATTTTTAAAAGGTCGCCAACGCACTTGCGAGCCTTCTGGCATCGCTTAACATAATGTGAGCCTCCTGCCCGTTTGCCCCCTGTTATATAAAATATATATATATATATGTACTGGCGAACCTAGAGTTTATTATACGCTGATACGATTTAGTCTAAATTCCCTTTTCAGTTAGAAAAATGGAAGTTGTAATCATATTGTCAATGTCAGCGAGAGACTGTCACATCAAGTTGACAATTAACAATTTCATATTATAATTTAGAGACTTATGAAATGTGGACACTTTGCCGCGAAGTATTGGTGATATTTGCTATATTACAAATAAAAATACTTTCGATTTATATTAATTAAAAAGTTTCAATTAATCATGACGAAATGACTGCGTATAGACGAAAGGTTAAACATTCAGCAGTCATTTTGAAAGCTTAACAATGCTTCATATATAGATACCAATTTCCTGTTGGTTTTTCACTTTGACAGTGAAAACGCTTTTCATTTTAACCGCACAATACTCACGATATCGTGTTGTAAGCCTCGTTTACTGACACCTTCTACTGGCATCATCATATACATATTAACAACTATCTTTAAATTAAAATTGTGACGATTTAGATTTTTCTAGCTAATCTTCGTTATATCCATATAAAAAAACTTGAAATATAAACGAGCGCTTTTCATCTCCAATACACACATTCCCCGCAAGAATATAGTATATACAGTATATTTTATTTATATTATGAAACTAGCAAATATAATTTTAAAATAATTGAATAACTATATATATATAGGAACATTAAGGATAATATGGAAAAGTAAACATATCACGGATATCAAGTATATGTATTATGTATATGTAAGACGGAAATCTTCACAAACCACTAAACTATTCAGGCGTACTCTACATAATCGATACGTAAGAGTAACAGGTTATAATTACAGTCACAAGATTCATATCAGATGTCGTAGAAAAATGATACATAATAATCATTGCATAATTTCTTGTTTATATTGATGTCAATCACTTAGTATTGAATTTGATTAAATGAGAATCTTAGTTGTGTTTGCGGGCAAACAGCGTCATGATCATAACAAACAATTGTTTTTTGCTGATTTTCGTAGAGTTTAGAACCAATTTAAGGATTTAAGGGAATCAAAAAAAGTTATAAAAAAAATCAATGGCGCTACAACCTTTTTAGGTCTCGGCTTCAGATTTCTGTATCTGTTTCATGATCATTTGGTAATCTAATAGGAAAGTAGGTGATCAGCCTTCTGTGCCTGACGCACGCCGTTGACTTGTAGGGTCTAAGGCAAGCCGGTCTCCTTCACCGTTCGCGCGAATGTTATATGCGCACATAGAAAGAAAGTACATTGCACAGCCGGGGATCGAACCTACGCCCTCAGGGTTGAGAGTCGCACACTGAAGCCACTAGGCCAACACTGCTCAGAAACCATGAATACGAAATACGACATCCTTTAATTACAATAATTCATAAAAAGTTGACAAACCAAGCCATCGAATAGTAAAGAGAGAATATCTCTACTTTTTTAAATGAAAAGTGTAGAGTCTAGTCAAGAATAGTAGGGCTGATTCCAGAGCCATGCGAGTTGCTGTCGCATGTGAATAAAGCACAAACTCCTGAAGACTTCAAGGTCCATGCCAGTTAAGATAACGTGTACCTACAGTGTTTCCGGACCCTACCTTCGGAAACTTGAT